ACAACAGCAAAATCTTATTGGAAAACAACCCTGAAGTATTTTTGGCTATTTTAGCTGGGGATGGGGCCACTGCCATGGGCAGAGAGCCGAGTAGGGCCATGGATGCTTGCTGCAGCCTCACAGCCTCCTGCTCCCCACCCTTTGCCCTCCCTGGCTTTTAGATGACCTCCCTGCTGGCACATCACACCTCCTCCTTCTGCATCCCTTCTTCCACTCCCCATCTCCATCCCACCTCCATAATGAACCCTCCCTGCTTTAGCCCCAAGTAAAGAGTGTAGCAAACATACCTCTTGGGGTGCGAGGGGTAGGGAAACGATGGGACAGAGGATATGACACAGGGAAAGCAGCTCCACCCTGGCCAGCAGACAGGATGGCTTGTGTTCAAATAACCCTCGCACCCCACCAAAACCAGAACAAAATCCACAGGTGTATGGTCACAACCACAAGCGACCTTCCCATGCTCCTCTTCTTACCTTTTGTGCATCTTGCAACCAGCCTGAGGCCGACCTGGTGTCACACCACTTGACACACTAACTGACGGCAGTGAACTGAGTCCCAGTCCCACCCTGCCTGAGCAAATGCACCACCAAGCTCCTCCTGTCTAAGTCTGTAACTAAAATTCCCACCAGATGCTCACGTGAGGATGTTTAACATCTCTTCTCTTTTTTTTACTAGTGATTTTTTTTTCCTTTACTCTTACTTCAATACCAGTTTTGCTGTTGGGATTTTACATGTGCAGCAAAAAAGTGCACTGACTCCCTCCTTCCCCCCCAAAGTGTACATTTTACGCAACATCTATAACAGCAACATATCTAGTGGGTATTACAACAGGTTTCAGTATCCTCTACAATTTAAATACTACATTAGAAAACCACATCCATTGTTAGCAAACATCCTAGGCACAGTGTATGATGCAGAAAGGAGCTTAATTATACACATGAATTATACCACAATAATGCATAGAGATGTGCAGAAATCATTCTTCCAAGGTACAGCTACATTGCCCAACATAAAACAAAACAATGGGAAAAGCCCCAAGCAAGAAGTGTAAGGCCACTGCAAACTGCTCACCTTGCACAACCAACAAGAAGCAGAGCTACCATGGGGCATGGAATCCTGTGGTATTCCCTGAGGGAATGGGATTTTCCTATCAGCAAGTGCTCAGAGCCAGGCTCTGCTGGCTGTCAGTGGCTGACTCCAGCAGTCTTCCCTGAATCCATTTCAGGAGGATAACAGGCTGATGCCTTGAACTGTGACCCTCTTGCCACTCTGAGCATCTAGATTTGCACCCATTCTTGTTCCTAAAGGGCAAGGGGTAACAAACATGAGAGCAATTGAAACAGAGACTTCTTGTACATAAATTCATATTTAAACCTCATTCAGAAGGGAAACACTAAGACCATTCAAAGAGAAAAGGCAAACTGCAATTTCTCTACAAGCAGCTGAGAACATGAAGACACTTTGAACAACTCATAACAAATAGGCTACTTCATTTATTGTTTATTTCCCCACATGAATGAATCAACCATCTCGGAAACTCCATCACACACAGGGCAGAAAACATTATTTACAAGAGGGACATACGTCCCCAAAATAAGTTTAGGATGTACAGATTTATAATGGGAACCAAGAGGGAAGGGAGAGGACAAAACAAAACCAAGGACATCGCAGTCAGACTTTGACCTTAATTTACAGAAGAGATCTCTATTTCCATGTAAGTGGGGTTTTCAACTATTAAATAAATGGCATCTTAAAAATAGAACATTTGACAATTTCAACACATGTATTATTTCTTCTAAATAAATATTGCATGGAAATGATTCCACTTTGCTACCATAGCTGCCTCCTTCCCTTATGGGACTTCACCATCACCTCTGTTTTTCCTTGGATTCATGATTTTGTTCCTTAGTGGTAGATTTTATTTCCTCTACTATTACGTATTTTGGTTTTATTCATTCATTCATTCATTCATTCACATTTGTTAAGGCCTGAACAGGCCCAAGTGAAAATGACGAGCATCTTTCCTAAACCCTTGACAGGCCTCTGACCTGGCTCGAGGTTGAAACATGATGGCTTTTAAAAAAGTTATTATTTAAACAGTCTTCTCCATGACCTGAAACAAAGCATAGCTTCCTATGTAGCTTGGTGCTGATGCTTCCTCAGATTGCTTTTGAAATGAAAGCCCCCCAAATACTGCCCTGCATACCTGTGACATGAGTTGCCCGTGATCTCGTTTCCTCCAATCCCAGGGGAGTTTGCCCTGGGAATGGGAGCAGCCCTTGCATGACCACTGCCACACAGTAGCAGAGCACATGCTGCCCTTTCCCAGTTGTAAAGAGGCAAATGCCAGTGCATTTGCCTTCACCAAGCATCTTCTTACCGACTTCGCTCACACGATGCACTCGAATGAGCTTTCCAGGGCAACAGATGATCACTATCTGGGCAGCAAAGTGCCTAAAGGGCAGGCAAGGACAGGACCTGGTGCACCCACAGGTTGCAGCAGACAGTTCCCCTGCGGTGGGCAAGCGGCTCTGCAACAGGAACCTGGTCTGGCAGCAGGGAGTGAGATGGGTGTATGCAAAATTACAGTACCAAGGGGACCCCTGTCCCTGCTTCACCTTATGCTTACCCATAACTAACACTCTGCTAAGGTTCTTGCAGACTCCCGCAGTGGTTTTCAGATTAAATAAAGCTTCCTTCCTTCCTCCTCCTGAGCTGGTGATCCTAAAAATAGCTAAACTGCTCTGAAGACAAAGTCAGAAGAAGGCATCGACCCACTAGTCTGGAATCGAGCTCCAAAGTGCATGTCAAGCCTTCAGGCTGGCTGGCCATCCCCATGCTTCCTGAGAACAAAACAGTTAATGCTGAGCCCCTCTCTGCCCCTGGCTCACTCAGAGCAGTCCAGGGAGGAGGAGTGCAAGTGAAGTTTGATAGGTAAAACGGAGCGGGGGGGACATGGACCTTCCCTTCCACTGGTTAGGACAGCTTATCCCTGAAATGCACTAAGGCTTTTAATAAAGTGAACGTAAGACGACAGTCCATTGAAGGTGCAGGAAGACCCAGCCAAGATCCTGGCAGTCCCACGCTGCCAGGGGAGGTGAGAGGACTCCAGGCTTCCCTGTGGCAGAGGCCATTTCTACAGGAACTACTTTTGGAAATGCAGACCTTTTGCTGTCCATTTTTGTGACTATCAAAACTACAAGCAGGTATTTTACAAAACACTGCTGCACACACGCAGACCTGTTCCTCCATCCTGAAATCGTGTGGAAAAGGGAGCTAATCCTTTCCTATAAGTACAATATTTCAGGACACCATTCTTCTCTCCACCACTTCCACAGGTCTGTCAGACATAGGGCAAGGGATGTGAGAGGGGACCAGAGGGCTAAGGCACACTATTAGATATAAGGAGAGCAGGATGCTGCTGTCACACAACAGGAAATCTTTGGGTAGAGAAGGGTGTCCTCCTACTGAACACACAAGTGCCGCAGATGCTGCCTTCATGGTTACTGTCACCTGCAAAATCATATATTCAAAATGCAGCTCCTGACAAGGAAAAAATGTTTGCAAACAGCTAATGATTCCCTTTGGTGTTCCCTTGACAAATTCCTAAGCTGCTTGGCCCATCCTACAGTTTGGTTGAGAAAGAGCACATGAAGGAGCACATACCTCCCACATGAAGGATGTCCTACTTTGGTACCAAATCCTGCTTTTAGATATTCACTGACACCGGCAATGGTTACAGGCAAACATCCAAACACAAAATTTGTCTTATGTTCCACATTCAACCAGTTAGTTCCTCCTTAAAGTGATTCCTGCCCGTGTAAGCTCTCGGACCCAGAACAATGTCCAAGCAATCACAGTGACCTAGTACAAGTCCAGTACCCCCACCCATCAAAATGGTAAAAAGCAACTGGACAAGGAGTCCTCAGTGTCAGTGACGCCCCTTCACCACAGGAGAAAGGCAGAGCTGTTTCCAACCACACTTAGTCATTTTGCCACCCCAACTGCGTTTGCCTTACGAGGTTTCAACCAAACACGACCCTAAGTAACACAGTTCAAGTGCTAAGAGCATGTGCACATGGCAAGGAGAACCAAAGCAGCGATGACTTGAGTGAACTTGCAGCACGGAAGGCAGTGGCTTTCCCCCAATTCTCAGGACAGCAGCTGGCTGACAAATGAAAAGGGTGAGGTTGGAAAGCAGGCAAGGCAATAATTTTTGTGGGTTTTATTATAATATAATGCTGTCTGGTGCTGATGAGGTTGTTACTTGCCAGTGGAGGGGTAAAGACACCAAAGATTGCACCTGTGCTTGCAATTACGCTTCACTCTGAAGTCTTCTGGGCAAACAGCTGTTGCAAACTGTGGGATGTTGCATAATAACCTCTGGAGGCAGATTTCCTTCTTGACGGCACTTCTTCATGTATGATTATTGTTCTGCTGGTTATTCATCATAGAAATGTTTGTAGACCATCAATACATTGAGCCATTCAGACAATTCATTGCACTTCGTTGTTTTAAAGGAAGGTGCCATCAAGGCTGTGGCTTTCCTCCTAAAAACAGTTCAAAGTTTTTCCAGTGTATCCAGATCCATCCCACGATGACTCCTTTTCCTTTGCAGGTGCTTTGTAGCCAACAATTCAACAGTTCAACAATTGAACAATCTAATAATTCAATAAAGTTAGGCTGCTTGAGGCTTTAAAAGTGCAACAAAACCAAAATAAAATAAAAAAACCCAAGGCGAGGGAAAAAAATAATGATGATAATAATAATAAATTAAAAAGAAAAAAAAGAAGAGGAAGAAGTTGTTCCGGGTACTTAAGAAGTTTTTGTTCCAGGTACTTAAGAAGTTGTTGTTCCAGGTACTTAAGAAGAAGTTGCAGGTACTTAAGAAGAAGAAGTAGTTGCAGGTACTTAAGAAGAAGTTGCAGGTACTTAAAGAAGAAGTTGCAGGTACTTAAAGAAGAAGTTGCAGGTACTTAACTAACTAACTTGAGCACTAGTTAAGGCATTTTTCTTTCCAGTTTCAGCCAGTGTAAACCCTGTCTAACGTAGTGGACCAGTCTGATCAAGCTACTGTTCAGTGACAGCTCGTCCGACGCTGCGTCGAGATCCGCAAAAAACTCTGGAAAAAAGGGGGGGAAAAAAGAGAGAAAACATTTGGTTGGTTTCACACAAGAGGCACGGGGGGACAACAGCAGCACACTGTCAGCTGGGACATCCCATTAAACCCACTGTTAATACGCAGTGCTCAGCGGTATTAGAAGACTTGGAAGTGTAACAAGCACGCAATGCAGGGCATGTGAGAGTAAAAGGCACTCACACGTGCATACACACTGAAGCACCTCCCCAGTGCTGGCTGTGAAAGGACACTGAAACTCCCTGGCAGTGGGCAAAAGTCTGGGTGTTCACACCCCAGTCCCTGCCACATGCTCCTCCAGATGTTAAACAGGCCAGATTTGACTGTCTTTCTGAATGATGCCCATATCCATGCACAGCTGTCAGAACAGTCCCTTTCCTTCATCCATTCTCAAACCTTGGAGCCACCCTGGTTTTGCAGTTGAACAGGTTTAAACAGTTCTATAGCTTGACAGGCCACACAGCTCTAATTTGAGTTGCTTATAGCTGGGCATATCAGGCAGGTTTAAGACAATCCTACCCTCCCATCAACTTCAAGCACCATGCTCCTCCTTCTGCACAGGCAGGAGATGGCTCTTGTAGCCTATCTGAGCCTGCTGGGAGGTGCTGTCAGGCTGCACACCCTGCTCTGTGCTGGCAACCTTCTCTGCAGGTGACAGCAAGTTATGGGAAATTAGCACACCTATTCCTTTCCAGTCACCTTTCCAAGACACTCCTGCATGACCTGCCTTCCAGTGACATGGGCTCATCCCAGTCCCTCCAATCTTGATCATGTTGCAGAGTACCTTTCAGCACTCCTTTTTTACACACAAAGATTGGAGGTTGAAAACTTCTGCTCAGCTGTGCAAGGAACATTATAGAAGCAGAGAGCACAATGCTTTAATTCTAACACTTTCCCATTCAGGAGCAGAGAACACATTTCTCCTGATCTTCCTGCTTTTGTTTACAAAATGGATATCCATTCCCTCCACTGGGAACACAAGAGCTGCAAGCAGAGGCAAAAAGTCCAAACCCCTTGCCTGAGTAAATAGAAGATAATACGATCTGTGACCACAGCACTGTGTGAGAGGAGAGTGACTTCACATGCAGGCATGCAACCTCAGCTTGCCCTCGCTGTGGCTGGAAGATGATCTGTTACAGCATCATGATCCATGACTCTGCTCTGAATTACAGCGAGGAGCTGGGTCCTGCACCTGGTTGTGGACCCTCCAGAAAGCACATCAGCTCTGCACAAGTGACTCAGACATCAGTTACAACTGCTTTCCACTAACTTATGACTTCCCTGTTTAAGGGAACTCAATAGCTGAAGGCCACTGCTCTTTTCTTCTTATGCCCTATGAATTGCATAAAAGAATCGAGGATGTGGCCTTTTCTTTAGTTTTATGTACTTACTCTGTACCTCTTAGCATCTGTACTGAACATCAACAAGTTCCAGTTCTGAAACTCCTCCACTGACCTGAACAGTGACAACAACTGCCCAGCCTACATGAGTATTTACTATTCTCCTGCACAGATCCACTTCCTTGAGAGTATTTACTACCCCAGTTATCATTCCCCTACACTGAAACGGCAGCATGGGGCAAGTCTGAATTTAGTCTCAACTGATGCAAGATTGTGCTCAGGCTGCCTTTCCCCACACGTTTTCCTCCACGACTCATTCCTCTGGCTTACCAGCAGCATCCACCATAATAATATTATAATATAATATAATACAATACAATATAATAATATAATCCAAAATACTACACAAGAATTGCTGCTGCAAGCAGAGATTTACAGCTGGAATTACTTTATTCAAAAGTAACTTGCAAAGCCTTTTGAATTTCAGCCACTGCCTCATTAGTGTATTTTTACAACCTTCCAACAATGGAGCCAGGCACATTGGTCTTTTTTGTGAGTTTGCCAACAGACTGTGGTAATACATCCCCTCACCCACAGCAGCTCAGAAAACTGTGGTTTATGGAAAATGACACTGCAAATGACACGTGGAATGACAGGTTACAGACCAAACTGCACCCAATCTAGGGCTTTTGCTTACTCACCACTGCTTGTACCACAGGACGGTACAATATTTTTAATAACAAAACTGAAAAATACAAAAAGTAGCAGCAATGTTGGGAAATGCTACTGGCAAATACTGATCACGTGCCCCAGAAGAACTCCAAATCAAGTGCCGCTCAGTCTCTCTGTTACAGAGAGAGGCCAGCCCCACTGTTTCCAAGACAAAACTACCTGGAAGATTGACCAACAAAAGCACAGGGCTACAGGCCAAAATGTTTCTAATGAAAGTGAACCCACTCAGCAAACCTAAGCATCCCAAAGGGGAAAATAAACAGCAAAAAACTCCTTATGCTTCTTGTGTTACCATGAAATGCGAGTTGGCTGGTTTCCTGCACTTGATACACTCGCCCATTAGCTCTTAGACATTTGAGGATGCCAAGCCAACCTTTAAATTGGAACATTCATCAATATATCATCATCAAGTGTCTCTACCAATAACCTGCCAATGTGCCATAGCTGTCTATAGGTAATGCTTTGATCTTTAGGTATGATGTTTGATACACTGTTAGGATTTAAGCATGCACATACTCATAGACACAACACGTAAGACACACAAGTCAGAGGGCAAAAACTTACTCTTATGCTTCAGGATTAGTGCATCAGCTTGTTCCCAATTATCAAGTGCAGAGAGGACATGGGAAGTGATGTTGACATAGGAGTAGGTGATGTCTGGGATATTACAGGGGACCGTGTTTGGAGAGTACATGCTGTTGCCACTGTAGTTGCTAGCATTTGATTCGGGCTGAGAACTGGCAGGAGAGGGCACGGGAGAAAAAGGAGAAGGCATGCCTGTGCTTCTGCAAGAGAAAGAAACACCATCATGAACATTTAACTTCAGAGTTTAAAACCTTGCCACAGACTATCTTATGCCAGAAGCTATCCGGTATCATCCAGGCTTGCAGAATGGAGCAGAGTGTTGAAAACTGAGATGTGTTCAGCTACGTAGGAAGTAATTGTCCTTTGAGTGCAAGGCCAAGGTTTTTGAAGTGATTTGCAACTCTGAGGACTCCTCTTGACAAAACAAAATGCAGGACCAGGTATCAGAAAGGGCTATACATGCACCTTCCAAAATCTACACCTACTTGTGGAGGCCTTCATCAGATTATCTAAGTACTTTTTCCGAATGACTTCCATTTCAGGCATGCTGAAGCTCCCCACCTATGGAGGCTGGAGTTTTCTGACAGGCAGTCAAAGCAGCCAGGTCAGCCTACGCACACTTATTTATAGACCTAGAGAAGCTAAATGCAGTCAGCAGCCCGCCTTCCAGACACAGGCTGGCTTCATCACATTGCTTCACCTCCACCACTTCAACCAACCTAATATTAGTCACTGGTATGACAAGGCTTCCACCACTGCTTCCCAATAAACTATACTTAGTGCAAGGCGGCAGAAAAATAACTGGAATTTCAGCATAACTATTAAGACCAAACAACCCTATTGTGACTGCAGAGTTTAAAAGGGACAGATGTGGAGCTGAGCAGCTATCTGCCAAATGCAATTACCACAGTACACAGAGAAACTCCGTCTTACTTATTGTCACTAAACCACAGGCCCAGTCTGATGGGCATCGGGTCAAACACTGTTAGGTGGCAGCTTGCCTTTTACTTTTGCTGCCACATACACAGCAACACTGCTGCAGATACCTAGAAAGGACAACATTCTCTGTTAACTCACAAATTAGAAAATGAGTTTCTTAATTGGTGACTGAGCTAAAGAGACAAGTATTAAAGTATCACCTCAAAGTTATGCTGCCAGGGTGAAGTCATAACCCTACTGGACAACAGCCAGGGAGATAGGGATGGTATCCCACTAAGTCTCAAAGGATCTCTAACAGAACAAAGATGACAACAAGGGCTTTGAAACAGCATAGTGATGACACCTTCTTTGCTCCTCTGACCACTTCTCTGGTAGAAAACTGCTCTGCTTGATACGCACTAACTCTGGACCTCATAACAAAAAAAAGCCTCTTCCCAATGAGAACGGATGGGAAAGAGAGAGCAGAAACATACTCATGCCCCCTAACAGTATGATTTCAGGTGGCAAGAAAGAGCAAATGGTGAGGCACTCTCAAATGCAGCTTGCAACTCGAATACTCCGGCTACTGTTTTCACTCACACCTTTATAGGCACATTATAACATACGTATTTTTAAAATCTTACCTTGCAACAAATGGAGAAGGTGCTTTTGTGGAAAATCTCTGCAGCAAGGAATAGAACTCTTGTTAGATTTGGGCTGTTCAGCTGACATCAGTAACTACTGCAGCCAGCATCTGGCAGATCAGTTACACATATGCCCTACCTTGAAGTGGTCATTCAGAATCCTGGAATACTTTACTGCAATCTCTTTTTTGTCACGGAACATTGTCATGTGCAGAAGGGACTGGCAGCGCATGCTGTGAACAGAAACACACCCAAGCTTGGTCAATATTCATGCTTGCTGCTGCCTGCTCAGCAGTCACCAGCCCTGTGGGACACAGGCAGGCACGCCTCAGCTCTACTGCAAAGTCAAGAAAGCTCAGGATTTCTCCTCCTTCTGCTCATCTTTAAAAAAGTCACTGTGAAATAATCACAAGGTGAAAAAAACCAAACGAGGGTAGGTCTGGTCTTTCATTTAACAGGTGCCCAGCCTCTTACAGGTGCCACAGGCTGAGTAAGTCTCCATCCAGCTATGTGCCTCAGCTACGTTCAAGCTACAGCTTCAGTTACGTGGCTCCAACATGGACAGCCAAACTGCATTCTTTCACCTTAGATGAAAGCCCCTATGTGCTCTCAAGTTACCAGCAGATCAAATTTTAGAGCCTGTGCCTTCCACGTGTGGTCCCTTGTGATAAACCGGCTCACTTTAGAGATGTTTCAGCTCATTCTGGATTTTATATTGCGAGGTTTTCTTCCTTGCAGAACTCTGATTCCCATTTCACTCATTCCTTTTCCCCTGAAAGTAATGAGTCTTTCACTTGATCAAGCCTAAAAACAAAGTATGAAGGCACAGAAAAACAGTTACGCACCATAACACGGTAAAGATTTCCTCATGTGAAGATGATGAGGAGCTCATACAGTATTTCAATGTCATGATGAATCTAAGGAAACAAAATAAGGAGAACCTTGTCAGCCATCAGTGATCTGATGGCCCAACTCTATGAAAAAACAGTGCATGCCATTACCTCAAACGCTGCTCCAAAAGTCAGGAAACCTGCCCTGAGGTCTTAGTCCTGGCACCAAGTGCTTTGTATGATCTTGAGCAGAGGACTGTCTCAAAATGCCTTGTTTTCCATGCAGCAGAACCAGATGTAGCCCCTTATGTGACTCGCTCTCCTCTTACACTGAGATTAACAGGCAGCATCCCTCCAAGCAGATGGTCCCCATGGGCCACCTACAGGCCTGGGGCCCAGAAGACATACCCCCCAGTACTGAAGGTGAAATACTAATTCAAGTGTTTCTGGACAAGACAGACATCTTAGGGGAAATGTTTCTTCTGGCAAAAACCAACCAAGCAAATCTCCCTTTTGAAAGCAAAGCAACAGCAGCATCTTGGAAATACAGTCCATCAAGACCAGAAAGCAAACAATTAATTTAAAAAGTTTGAAGTCCATGACAGAAAAACCCCTGAAGCTGTTTCAGCTCTAAGGCAAGGCATCAAATCAGCTCTCAAACACACTCATACATCCCATCATTTCAATATGAATAAACTGATACCTGTCTCTCTCCTATCCAACACATGGTTCCTCAGGTTGTGCTGCCTGTATATGTCATACTACCTGCATTTATCCACTATGGCTGTGAAACTAAGTGGGGAAGGTTGCTAAAAGAAACCCTAATAAGGGCACTGGTAGAAAAACACATGGCAGAAACCAGTAAAATCTGCTTTCAATCAAGTTGCAAGACCTCTGGGTCATTAACTGCTCTTCCACATGCTGTATTGTTGCTTCGCTTTTTAAAACTGAAATACTACTGAGCTCACATGCAAAAGCAGCTTCAGACCTGGATAAAGTAAAAACCCCTTCATGTCCTTTCTTGTCACAACCAGCGTTCTCTGGTGTACCTCAGCTGCAACACTCAAATGCTCAGGAGGACATGGTGTCTACTTCTGATAAGCAATGCTGAAACATTTCAAAGGATTTGTCTCTGGTGCCTCTGGATGGTCTGTCTCGCGCTTACACAGCAACCTGAACTCTGCTCCATGGTGGGAACCCAGAGTTGCCACAGTTGCAAACAAGCAGTGCAACTAACCCTTCCCCTCCAAACACGTTGATTTGAAAACTGCTTACTTGACGAAATCTATGGTGTCCTGGAATATTTTGTAAGTGGATTTCTGTGCGTCCGATTCCAAGGCAATTCCATACTCAATGAAGAACAGGGCAGCTTCTAGGTACCGATAGGCTTTCGCAGTCTTGTCAGTCTATTGGGAAGAAAATTCTCATTTTTAGACTATGACAAAAACTCCTTCTCTCAAGTATACCCAAATTCCTTTTTTCTCCCTAGTTAGTCAGGATTTGAAGACAGAAAAAGATGCATGCCAGGCCTCCAGGTGACAGTTAATGTGGTCTTTGTGTGCTCTGGCTATTCGTATCTTTTCCTCTTGATAAATGGTTTCCTCAAGTATTTATTATCTATACATTTTCTGGATATTATTGTCTGGTCTTGGAGGCCTGCCTCGTGAAAGGCAGATTCCCTCACTTCATTTTCACAGGTAAATGGCCAGTAGCATATGCAAATTATCTGACTGAACGTAACTAGTAAAAACTATGCTAATTCATGCACACTGTCAAACTGCACATAGAGGAGAAAGCTGGTTACATCTGCAAAGGGCACTTCCAACTCTTGTCCACCAGCAACACAATTACTGTCAGGATCCTGACATTTCAGAGCAAACTGTCCTAAAACTGTTCTGACAAGGGCTTTGTCATAGCTCTGCAAAGCAAAGAGGCCTGCTAACCTCAGACAAGGTCTGCTCTGAATTCTGTTCTTGAGGCATATTCTCCAGATGTGTTTATAATAAACGGAAATATCTGAACATTTGGGCAATAAAGACAGCATCCCCACATATGACTTGAACATACTCCAAGTTTGGAGTATGGAAGTAATTTTAGCTAGTGAATCCTTATTCACATGCACACAAATACTGGCTCTGAATGTATGAGACGGTTTACATTTCTAGCACAGAGCCAAAACTTACCATTGCATCAGCTCTGTGTTTCAGCCTCCTGGCCTCTTCTAGGTAGTATTCCGCTGGATACTTTAGATGTCTGAATTGGGGACAGAGAGGAAAAACAGAAAACAGAGAAAAAGAATAGGACTGTTATCAATTTTACCTTCATATCTAGAGGACGCTCTGCGTACAAACACCCTTTTTGGTAAGCCCATTTATAGCTTTATCAAACATGTTACAATTATGATAGTCACTAAATGAGTGTCGTCTGCATGTTCGGAAATACACAGCAGCTGAATACAACATTCATTGATTGCTTGATTCAATTAATTTGATAAAATTAATTTATTTCTTAAAAAAAAAAAAAATCTACCTTAGAATTTGAAAACTTACATTTCCAAATGAAAAAAAAAAAACCCACACAAACCAGAGATTAGGCCACTATGAGGCCAAGTTTACTTCTTCGCTCCTATGGAAAGATAATAGTAATCTTCTATGATTCCTCAAGTACAATACCACAGATACATTTTTATTGCAATGTACAGTAAACTTTGCAGTACCACACACTTATCTCAGACCAAAAGACCTTGCATTCGAGTTATCTGCTCACAATAGATATGGCCACCAAGGCTTCCACCGGTCTTGGTCTCAATCAACACATAAACAACGATAAAGTTGGAAAACACACATTTCTGTGTAGTGGGATAATCTATTCACTATGCAAGTGGCACACAACCATCTGTGCATTAACAAAATGAGCAAGTAAAGAGTCATGCCCTCTCAGAAAAAGTTACTTGCCTGCCCAGCACCTTGTCACAGAGTAGTTCACCACTTCTCAAGAACCGGACAAATCAAAACCTACCATTTGTAGGCAGGCACAAGAGATACCTCCTCTCAAAGTTAAAAACTAATTAATTTCTAGAGTAGTGGTTCTAGTACAAGAACTGCTGTATTGGACCTTTGCTTTGTGGTAGGTGTGGTAAGTCCCAGACATGAGAAGACAGTACAGGGCAAGTCACAGACACCTCTCCTCTTTCTTCCCCAAAGAAGTGCTTATTAAGAAGCAGAAGCCAGGGTGGCTGCAGGGACAGCGTGGCCTGGTGTCTTTAGAAAGTACAGATGAGGGATGTAAAACTTACCTTTTAAACTTGAGTCGAGGTCTCTTTGGCTTGGAGGTACCATTTGGCAAAGAAGGCACTGAGAAAGGTTTTGTGACATGTCCATCAGATTCCTGAAAAATCACAGTGTACAGATAAATCTGGTTAGAGATATGTCTAGAACAATTCCAAAGCCTGGCTTTCCTAAATTTCAGTAGAAAATATTTATGTTCCACGCATAGTCTATCTTCCAGGCTCTACCTGTCTTCTTACCTTCTTCCCCAGCACCCCCTCCAATTATGGAAATGGAAACCTGGCTTCTTATTTGACTGCTAGTAAGGCTTAATACCATTCAAACTTTTCCCAAGCATGGAGAAATTAAGTAGACAGTTTCCTTGCACAATAGCTAAGATAGGAGAAAGGCTGCAAGCAGCACATTTTTCATGGCCACTAACCAAGGCAGAAATGGGCAATATCCATTCACACTTAATTTCCAGCATAACCACACAACAATTGTTGAGTCTCCATTACTAACTATATTATAAGGAAAAAGCAAGCAGTTAGAAGCCAGCTAACAGAGCAAGCACAGTCTGGCTTGACTCACACAACATATTAGACCACACACACACAGCCACTAGTAAACAGCAATATAATTGAATTTTATAACCCAAAAATGCAAAGATCCAGCTGCAAGGATCATTAACAATTTTATAAGCAAACTATAAAACAAACTTAAACAGGGGATATTTAGGTTAGATATAAGGAAGAATTTCTTTACTGTGATGGTGGTGAGGCACTGAAACAGGTTGCCCAAAGAAGTGGTAAATGCTCCATCCCAACCCAAACCATTCTATGATACTATGAAAACCTTATACCCAGGCTGTATGTTTCTTATTTTTAAGCAGTCCACTTTTTCTTTTTTTAAACACCCTTACTTTACACCAATATTGTACTTGCAGTTCACTACAGTCAGAAACAGTTACTACCATAAACATGATGCCTTTGGTTTTTACATGGGCACCCCTTCTCACTATGCTTCACTAATGAGATGAAAATAAATGATGGCAAGTCAGCAGAGAAGTTACAATGCAGGCTTTCGAGCTAGCAACATAGATTTACAGCCAGCCATGCAAGGGGCAAAATGCTTGAAAAAGGCAAGTGGCTGGTTTATCTTCTTTCTATTTATGCATCCTCAGAGCATGTTTCTAAAGAGAATCACAGAGCATTCACAGGTTGCAGGAAACTTCCTGTCAGTTATAATAGATACCTACTTTGATATCCTTTGATGGTTCAGCTGGATTACTCTCCAATTTGCAGTGTTTGGAGATCAAAGGATCCTTGTCGTTGCTCTTATTCTTGGCAGTGTTATCCATGGCAGTTGGCTCGTCACTCTCACTTCTGGGTCTCTTTTGGGCCACCTTGGTTGACTTTGGTGCAGGATGCGCAGGAGACACTGCTGGGGGTAGTGGGGGTAGAAAATCTTTCTTCTGGGATTCAGATGAAGCTTTTGACTTTGATGCTCTGGAGATAGGACGAGAATTCA